GACTCTGTTTGTACGGGCGCCTGATTTCAGGAGCATGATGAGCAAACCCCACCGACATCATCATCAATAGGCGCCCAGGCTACATATAAATGATAGGAATAAGGCGTTCGCTAAATTACCAAGAAGGTATTTGGGCCCAATTGGGCAACATATATCAAGCGTCTCCACCATCAACCTAGTAACAGGAGATTGGACGCACGAGGGAGGGAGCAAACGAAGGCAACGACAGTGTGATCTTGAAAATCGGGAGCGTACAAAATTTGTTTCACTATTGGGCTCTTCCGACCAAACAACTCTTTTGCGCCACATTCATTTGCTGATTCTCTAAAATGGAGCGCCCAAACCACCTCAGATGTACATTATGCGGCAAAGCGGGAGATCATGCTATTTTCCGAGAGGGGTGCATATACCACCGAGTGTCGCGTTTTCTTGCTGATTCTCTAAATTTGAAGGCGCTCTGTGGAGGATGTCTAGCAAATTTGGGCCACCGGGAGTAGTCGAAAGAAGTGAGAAAAAAAAATGCTCCCTGGTGGTTGAAGGCGATCTAATGCGGAACATGTACTAATTTGAGAGGCGCATACCTTCAAGATACGCTATAAGGAGCCGCCGGAGGGAAGGGCGTACGACAGGTGATGTGTCAGTTTTATTTTCTCCTTCGCGAATACACCTCTCGTGTCACACTTTCCTGGTTATTAATCAAATAAATAGGTGCTGAGTTGCGGCGCTTAGAGGAGAATACCGAGCGGGGTATTTTAGCGTTGCACGGACTTGTAATTCTGTAAAAACTCCGAGGAATGGTAGAGCGTCTGGTCACTTCTCTGCACAAAGGAAAAGAAGCGTGTACTAAATATGGGGGTTAGATGATGAGATAGAAGAAGCACACAATGCTTGTGGAAGAAGGGTCAATGCGCCTTCAAAGAGGAGGTTACCGCCAAAGGAAATAAGAGAGGCTCATGGACTAAAAAGGAAATAGAAAGGACAAAGTACGTTGTCTTTCAAGATGATTGGGCGTGTGCTCAGCTTACATCTTCATCTAGCTCGTCGAGAGCATACATCCTGCATGGCCAGTTTGTGCGCCGGAGTTCCAAGCGGAGGAATCAAAATGGGAGGGGAGGATGGAATTAGAAGCAGCGCTGCGAAGCGTAACAATAGATGTTTTGAATCAAAAGAGGAAAGGGGGGAAAACTACGCATTTTATTAAGTGTATTTGAGGTTTGGTTGAAAGGAAGGTGCACGCTTTGGCAATGGAGAAGAAATGAAAAGAAAAACGCTCAAGCGGCGCTCATATGCTTTGGAAGGGCAAGCATTTGTCCCATGAAGTGTCGCGTTGGTCAAGCTTGACTCCTCGTTTAATGGGCCACAAGGAGGGCGCCCACAAAATTTTCATCACGCTTGAAAATTCAGGCCCCAACTCGGCTAAGCGGTGGAAACCTTTGGAAAGTAAAAAAGACAGATAGGCGCCCAGGAAGCAAGCAACTGAAATAATTGGAAGCAAGCAGCAGCGGGCCGTATGTGGAAGCAAGCAGATGATATAAATGGAAGCAAGTAGCTTATTGGCGTGGAATACTTGGAGGCGCAGCATCAGAGGAGACAAATAAAAGAAAAGGAGGAGGCGCCCACCGGAAATGGTAAAGGAAAAAGAGAAGTGACGAGGCATTTGATTGTCTTCAACAAAGGTGGAGTTTTATCGGGGAAAAAAAACTGGGAAAGCAGAGAGGTGATGGCGCATGAAAAAGTTCAATGGGGAGCTAGGAGGAAGCGTGCGTGGCGGAAAAGAAACAAGAGAGAGGAGGCGCTTTGTCAAGAATAAACACAAAAACCCATATTGGGGGGGGGGGGGGGGTTAAATGTGTTCCATTGGATTCGAGAAGGTAAAGAGGCGGGTGCTGGAATCATGCACGAGAAAAAGAGCATTCATTCGTGTGCCAATATCAATCCTATAAGCCCTTCTCATCGGTCTGTATACCCTACTAGCTTGATCTGTTTTGATGGGCGCAAGTGAACCAAGCGCCAGGCCCACAAAGGCCAAGTTGTCGGGATCCCACTAGAGAGTGGTGATCTGATTTATGGAGCAATCCATATTTCTTATTAAGTAAGACATTTCAGAAGTCCAAAAATGATGTGAAAATACACATCAAACACGCCTACTTGAAGAATTGAACCTGGCACCTGTTGAAGACAAGTCAGACGCATAGATTAGCAGGGCAGCTGACATGATTATGTTACAATGAGCCTCCACTAAATTTTGTTCTCTGAAGAAAGCGTCCAACACTTGAAATTCAGAAAGCAAGATTCGAAGTAAGCGCCCCGACAACAAAACTCAAGCGCCTAAAGCCACTGCACTACGACCCTAAGCCTTCTATTTGGAAACAGGCATCTATCATTTACAACAAGTGTTAGCACGAGCTTCAACACACACAAACCAAGCTAAGTATTTTATTTGTTCGTGAAATTCGGTTTTAACTCCACGAGATATTGCTTTGTTTTATTTGGTGCGCCCAAATGAAGTCTTTTGTTCGAATATGTAAAGAGCCCAAATCTAGCGCCCTTGATTGAAAATACTCTCCGCGCGCAAATCTAGCGCCCTCGATTGAAAATAATCTCCGCGCCCAAATCTAGCGCCCGTGATATTTGAAAGATCTCCGAGAGAGATGTAAAGCGCCCTGCAATACATAAAGCGCCCAAAGTATCAAAAATTGTCAAGATAGAATGCTACAGGGCACTCTAAGCCTCAAATTTACGCAATGAATCGAGGCGTATGGCCTAATGAGGGGTGCTTCAAAGTGGGCCACGAGAGCCCAAATGTCCAACTTTTCCCTATCATCAATGATTCATGCGCCTCGCCTACTTTCATGGGGTCAAGCTCGTGAAATAGTTGTTTGGTCTCACATACTTCCCATATAGAGCTTCTATGCTTCTTCTTGTAGGAATATTGAAGTCTACGTCGTGACTCGTCCACTCTCACGGGGATCTGTAGCGATGTCACATGAATGTAGGCATAGTTGAGCGGTCAAGATGCCCAACTTGTACTATTGAGGGCCTCGGTTCGAATCTCATGTGAAGCTTTTCTATCGCTTTCCTTACTGGGATGCATACTGGGCTAAGCGTGGTGGGCATGGAGGAGCCAAAGTGCACCGAGCTCTGAAATGGGGTTTAGTCTGGGCACCCAGAACATCAAAGATTTTGTGGAGATATTTAAAGCGCATAGATCTTTTGTGTTCAACGCCTGTTGTTACCAAGCACTGCCTATAAGGGAAGATAGATGGCAGCAGGTGCGGCCAACCGCGCAGTGCAAAATTTGTGTTCGAGCGCCTTTCCAAAGAGGAATGGATAAAATGAGGGAATTCTATCAAGGGGATGCAAGGATCTGATCGAGGGGCAGGGGATCGGAGAAGCCCAACGGTCACACGAACACACGTGTCCACCGGTCGTGCACCTCAAATAGAAAAGTAGTCCCAACAAAACGCATGCTACGCGTTTTGGTAAGCAACCATCAAAGGAACAAGAAGCGCATAGTAATTCTCCAAGACAAAGGAAGAATGTGAAGTGAAGATGAGTATGGATCCACGAAGCTGAATAAGGGCGCATAATAAAGAGAAGTACAAGCAGACATCGAAGCATAGTTAGGCGCCCAATTGGATATATTGAGCGCCTAACTAGGGGGCAATTGTTGGGGATGTAGAGAAAGTCTAATGAGAGAAGCCCAAGAATTACAAAGACTAAGTGTACATGTGCAACGGCCTTGCGCCTCGGATAGAGCAAGAAGTCGAAACGAAACACATCCTATAAATCCAATGGCACATCAAGCGAGTGAAAGAAGCAGAAGCCCAAAAGACATATCCAACGACCATGAGTCTAAGAGAGAAGGAATTGGATCAAGGCACGTAAGAGCAAGGGCAAGAAAATTCGGGTAAGATAGGGGAAAAGTCTGACTACTTTGAATCCAAAAGGCTAATGCACATTGTGCGTATAACAACGATAAATTGACAAACCGAGAGTGGAAGGTGCAAAGTCGAACAAGGCGCATGGGGGGCACGAGATTATAATTAGGCGTCCAAATTCACCCACTTCTTTGAACGCCTAACTGGGGGGCAATTGTTGGGGGATGTGAGAAAGCCCAAAAGAGTTGAAGTTCTCAAATGTGAAGTCCAGGCCCAAATGCCCAAAGCCCAAAAGAAGAGAAGTCAGTCCAAGGGAGATATCTGACAACCGAGGCACATAGAGACAAAAGCTCTGACAAGAAGCACATAGCGACAAAAGACATGTAACTGGCGTAAATGTACGAAAAGCTGAACGGCTTAGGTCATGCGCCTTGGATCTATGATGTTGGTGTCAGATGGTCGAGGCGCATGGCATAAAGAAGGTACAATGCATTAATCGCAATGCTGACGTAGGGCGGATTTGGGGGGCATTGGTCGGGAAGGCTCCTAGTATAAATAGGAGAGTAGGTAAACTTCATTACTCAGATTGGGTTCTCTCACTAAAACCTCCTTCTACTTCTCTCTCTACAATGTGGTGCTAACTTGACCGTCGGAGGTCTAATGGGCGAAGTAAGCCCGCTGTGCGCTTTGTGTGCAGAGATCCATGTGCCTCGAAAGGAGTGAAGGAAAGAAGTGCGTATGGACGGGAGAGCGCAACGTGACATGAACGGTCAGCAATGCGCCTTGTGTGTGTGGAGTTCCATGCGCCTAAGAAGAAAGAAGTGCATACGTACCGGGGAAGTGCAAACTGGCACGAACGATCAGTTATGCGCCTCGTACGTAGAGATCCATGCGCCTTGAAAGAAGGAGGGAAGGAAAGAAGTGTGTACAGATCAAGGAAGCGTAATGTGGCATATTTGATACATGTGATTACCTAATGTTATGGCATATATGAGATGTATTTGCTCACATATACTCAATGTATTAAACACCATATGAGATGATATATACAATTTAATAATTATATGCATCTTTAACAAACCAACTCATAAATATAGATTGATTTTCTTATAAGCTGTATTCGAGTTGGCTCTCTAGTCACAATGTTGGGACATCTCATAAGCTCAAAACAAGACAGTTCATGAGTTGAATTCAAAGAGCCACCTAATCGAGCTAGTTCACGAGCTTCAAGAGCCGAACAAGCTAGAGCTCAAGCTCGGCTCGTTTATTAACGAGCCTAGCTTTTTTAATTGAACGAACTTTTATCGAGTTCGAGACCGAGCCGCTCACGAATAGCTCGGCTCATTAACAACCCTTGGTATACGGCAAACGAAACCTTGTTGTCGGTATACCGACCCATACCTGGTATGTAACCGCCGTTTACTTGGTATAATTGAGTATACCGATATAGGCAAAAAAAACCCTCTCCTCTTTTTCGATCAGTTCACTCCTCTCTCTCCATCTCCCTCAAGAAGAAAAATTATCTCTTTCTTCAACAAATAGAACCTTCACCATGAGAGATTCTATGAAACCCCCTCCTCTCTTTCTCAATTTCTTGATCTGGACCATGGCATCGTGATTCATCATCGTCAAAGGGATGCATCGTCGCCGGAGAGAGGGCAAAGTGCGATGAGTTTGCTGCTCGCCCAGCCACCTCCTTTTTCAACTCCTCTGCCGCCGTCGCTGTTATCATTATGGAGAACCCAGAACCCGATCCGGCGACTCCCTCTCCCTCTCGATTCTAGATCTGGCGCCATGCAAAATCCCTCGTGCGACGGCTCTCTTCCTCTCGAGGTCAGATTCGGCAAGATGTTGTCTCCATACCGCAGCGGTTCTGAGTCCGTCTCAATTCCATATCTGGAGTCGCCGTTGGCAACTAGCTCTTCCCCTCGATTTCAGGTCTGGCGTGATGCAAACTCTCTCGCGTGGTGGCTCTCTTCCGCTCGAGGCCAGATCCATCATCATGCTGTCTCACTCGAGCGGCGATTCTCAATCCCTCTCAATTCCATATTCGGAGCCGGCGCCAGGACACAATGGTGCACACACGCCGCCAGAAAACTGGATTCAAGTTTCATTTTCCACTTCTCCAATCTCTCCTAACCCTATTTACCGGATAACCGAGTTGGTAACCGGCTATTCGGTAACGGGTAAATCAAATATTTGTTGGTATCGGTAGTCGACAATGCTTTGCCTTGGTTCGATCTCTCCCGGCGACTGTCTTCGACCATACCCACCCCAGACTCATCCTTCGCCGGCGGGAATCGTGAGCGGGAGCAGAGCGGATGAACTGTGACACAAGAAAAGAGCGAAGGAAAAAGGAAAAAAAAGGTCGACGGGAACGATAGAGGAGGAGGTTGGAGGAAGCGAAGGAGGTCAGAGGTTTGAGGGTGAAGTTGTCGTTAGGTTTGGATTTGGGGAGAAGTGTGAGACGATAGAGTGAAGAATGTGAGGTTTGATGTCAATTAGGGAGGCAGGTTTGAGATTTAATAAAATTGAAAGGGATAAAACGAGAATAAAAAATATAGTAATGTGCGATTTTAAAATAATTGATTCTTATTAGCTGTTTTAAAAAACCTGCACATGAGAGTTTTTGAAATCTATCATAGCCATGATCCTTGATCTATCCAAACAAGTAAATTTGTTAGGTCGTTTGGATGCAGTATTTTGATGAGATAATTTGGTCGAAATAACTCAGAATGAGGTATTTCAATCAAAATAACTCGTTTGGCAAAAATAAAGTAGAATGTGGTATTTTGTCCATGAGTCAATTGAAATAACTCATTTTGAGTTATTTGAAATACCTACCCACCCCCTAGTTATTTCAAATACCTCATCTCCCAACTTCTTTTTCCACTTCATCCCTTCTTTAAGTGGTGAAATACCACAATATTTGAATGTTTTATCTAAACAAGACAATTACACCAATTACTACATTTCAAAATGAAATACCACATAAAATGCCACATAGCAAAATAATGCATCATTTGAATTCGAAATACCATGGAACCAAAATGATACATCCAAACGACCCGTAAATCATTCAGAATAAGAGATTTGAGATTTGGGCAAAATCCTTCCTCTAAAGCTCTAATCCAATGAAAGAATCCGAGAAGAAAATTGAAGTGGGAAACCCTATCCCTGATGGGTTTTACGGGCCCATGCTGCTCCCATGTGTAATTGACGAGCGTGAGAGAGTAGGGCCTTTATAGAGATGGACTGATCTATCTTTTCAAGTTGATTTGTTTGCCAAAAATCAAATTGCAAAAGAGGAGGGGGGAATTAAAGGAGGGGAGATATCTGTTGTTCTCGTATTAGCCAGCTGGGGGAACAACATTTAATACTCTGCTAATTGCAAGACGGCAAAACTTTCACTAGTTTCCGGGCATGTGCCCTGAAATTTGGGGATTGCACTCTCTTCAGTGCAATAGTGTGCACGAACGAAGAGAAAGACCAAAGTCCGATGAGTATTGTCGAGGGAGAACACACTACACATTCCACGGTTGGGAATAGCAATTTCACATTAGGAGACGGTGAGGCTCTGTCATTTGTTTACGTTTTTTACCCGCAGCTTGCAGAAGCCATTTCCCGTGACCGTGTTTCCGTTCCCCAAATTACTCAGAGTTCAAACCTGGAAGTCGAATAAATTTTTGACTCATTGATTGAAATTGTTCAACTGACAGCAGATGGGAAAAGTTTTCACTTGCTATTAACAGATTTAACGTTCACTAATATTCAACTGTTCAGAGTAAAAAACATATTCTAATCTGTCAAGTGTGAAATGTTGTCCGAGGTCAGAAATAGACAGCAACGCTGGTTTATGCTTTCGGTGGATGGTGGTGGTAAATAATTGGTGTTGGGCTAAGATAGATAGATAGATATATAGACTGGTTTGGTTCTATTTAATTGGTGTAGTGATTTGATCTTTAAGTGCAGAAGTAGCAGTGATTGGCTGAATGCTATTTGTAGTATAGTATTGCCCATCTTGTGTAGTGTGTTTCTTGTTCACTATTTGATGTTTGTGTTGGTTTAAAAATTGTAACTATTGGATTTAATGTACAAACTGGTTGTTACTCAGAGCTACCCCAATATTCCCATTAATTTCAATTTTTTCTTAACCAAATCTCTGTTTTGTTAATTTATCATTTTTTTATGGAAACTACTCCTTTTTGTTAATTTATCGTTGAAGTGCATCTGAAAATACGTTTCAGGATCTGGCTTCAACGTTTCTTCCAGTACATTGAGAGACAAGTTAATAGTGATGACATGATTGTTGTGATCCCTTTATATCGAAACTAATGAAAAACATTTAAAAAAATTCAAAGCTACACTCTTATTCTGGAAACAGACTCAAAATTGGCTATAGACCTCATCAGGAATCGAGAGGATCCTGCCCATCCTCATTCGACTATCTTGGCAGCTATCAGACGTTTGCTTTCTCAGAACTGGGTGGTACGGTTAGTTCACACGTATAGAGAGGGGAAACGAGTCGCGGACTGGCTCTCGAAGCACAGTCTCGTCTATCCCTTCTATACGTGTGAGCTGACAAGTCCACCTAGGGAATTGGAAAGACTCTTGAGGGAAGACATAATTGGTGTTAGCTTCCCGAGAAGGGTGATTCTGAGCGGGGATTAATTTGCTGGTTGGAACCAGGGGTATTTTGCTTCTGTTTGTCAGCTTGGCGAGTTCTGTTTTCCTGCTGATTGAGGTTTTCCACCTTCCCGGTCCTGCAACCTGGTTGTAGGGACAACTTGGGAGGTGCTTGTAATTTTCTTTGACCGTGGGCTTTTGCCTCCCTTCACTCAAAAAAAAAAAATGACAATGATGTTATCTCCCACAATTAGTAAGAAGAAGTCTCATAATTCATAAATATCTTCTCAGTCTCACCTTATTCTCTATCTCAAAATTAAAATTAAAATGTTATTTATGACACACACCCGATGATATGTAACACTATGAATTATGATTCACTCAACTATATCTAGACCCAAATGTTGAGAATGTCAATTTCAGGATCAAAATGTTAGTGAATACGTACGCTAGCACTGAACTTGTACAGATCCAAAACTATACCTACACGACAAAGCAGAGAGAGAGAGAGAAAGGGGGAAAGCAATTTTTGTTGTTTATTTTTTCACTTCCACAAGTGAAAAAGAAGAGAAAAAGAGAGACGGTGCTGCTGTAGAGAGAGCAGTGGAGCCGCAGCCCTGGAATCTTGCAATAAAAAGGACCCTCCTTGCGTCCTCTGCCCTCTCCCATCCGCTACACAACAACACAACAAAAACACCCGACCCGAAGAAGAAAACATTCGAAAGAGAGCGTGAGAGTGAGAGAGAGGGGAAGAAACTTATAGAGACGAAGATGGCGGTGCCGCCGAGAAGTAGCAAATGCCTGCCCCTTTTCGCCCTGCTTCTGTTCGCCCTTTTCGCTGCTGCCATACTCGGCGAGGACGGTAAGTTTACTCCCAAACCCCACTCTGCTTCTTCCGATTCCCCTGTTTTTTTTTTTTTTTTTTATGTTTGTTTGTCCCATTTCCAATTTGCGCTCTCTACTTCAGCACTCGCTCCCTTCACTAGATTAACCGTTCCGAGATCTGGTAAAGCGTCAAAGCTGCTACCTTTAGATTTCATTCTTTCATTTTCCGAGGAAGTTTGAATCCCTGTGTTTCATAGCTTAGTTAATGAGAAAACTTAGGATTGTGAAATTGGAAGTATTGATTGGGGATTGAAGAGAACTGATTGTTCTTTTTAGCAAGTTTTCCGGAATAGCTGGGTTTCCCTCTGGAGCTGCAGAGGGAACAGTAAAGCTGCCTAATGGGGGATAACTGGTAAATAAAAAGAATTTTTAATCAATTTTTGCCCTTTTTTTTTGTAGGGCTAATTTATGCCCTCTGCGTTAAGCAGTAATAAATGAAAGCCAAGCTAGTAAATAGTAAACATACCCATACGGCTTTAAATTCTCTTGCTTTGGCTTCGCTTTCTCGGTGAAACAAAAGCAGGGGAGGGCCGAGGGGACCGTTCTTTGTTTTAATTCCTCTTACCCTACTCCAGAAATTTGGTTTAAGCGTCCTAATCCATCATCGTTTTATGGTTGATTCTTTTCTTTATGAGTTAATGACCCTCTTAATGATTATGATAATTGATTGTAGGACCCTCTCCGGTCCCTTTCCCATTGAATTGATGCTCTTTATTTTTTCTCCCCTTTTATGAAAGCATAATTTAGGTGATAGCCATGGCCATGACAGATTAGTTTAATAGTTAAGTAACTAAGCTCTCCTAAGAAATGCCTTTTTAAGTTCGATTTCTTTGGTGACAAGTAACTTAAACGAAAACAAGCATGATTCCCTAGTAATTTCGACTGCCAGTTGCAGGTGATTAATTGAATTTTCAACCCATCTTTATACTAAGTTGAAAAGATGCAAAATTTACAATGTTTACATTTTTTTTTTTGTAAGATTTGTTTACATATTTACATGGAATGGCCACTTCACTGGCGTTACTTTCTGAATGGTGAATCATGTCTGGTTGAAATGTGTGATAAGGATGAATATGGGCACTGGCGAGAGGGAGTAACTAGCAACAGAGAGAGAGAGAGATTTATTTTGATATGCTATATATTTTACATTAATAAAAAGAATAATTTCAGAATTACTAATTAAAGTAATTAAGCTATAATTGATAACAGAGACATATGTGGGGACGGAACGGGGATTAAAGGGAACACCGTTTCCGGAAACCTGGAAGCAGCTGTAGACTGTAGTCTCTAGCTAGCTACTAGCTAGGCAGTAGAAATCATGGAGCTATAGAGCTTAGAGAATAGAGAGGAATCAAACTGCATCCATCCCGATGTTCAAAAGTGGGGAGTTTAAAGTAAAAGGAAAAAGTCCGGTGTGTGAAACGGGGAAAAAAGCAGTCAGAATGAGTGGGAGTGGGAAGGGAACAGCGAAAGTAAAAAAATCCAGTAGGCGTAATCCTCCTTCTTATTCCCTCTTCTGCTCTTCTTTTGGTGGCGGATGGAGTCAAATAAGTCAAAAAGACAGTGTGGACTTCGAAATAAAACGGTGGAAACGAGGGTAGGCCCCAACCCTTCCGTTTAACGCGGCTTCTGTCTTCCCCCTACTTCTCCCAAATGGTCATGGATATGGGTGGACGGTGGTGGTGGTGAAGTTTGTCGACCCTGCTGCATCAGATTTCATATATATGGTTTTTGTCCTCCACCTAACCTGCCCTCCATTTCAGACGATCTCCCCCACCACCCAACTTGCTTCCCTGCTTTGGATTGGAAAGAACAAGCATGAATTTGATCCATCACTTTCAGACTTGTCTCCGTTTACATGTGCCATGGCCTCACCCTCATGACCGCGACAACTGCTAGCTTCCCGATTTTGTTTGTTTCTTCTGCTACGAGGTGAATCGGGTTTTTTCCAGGCGAGGTTAATTTTGGACACAGAGCAGATCCGTGAGGATCTTGTTCATTCATCAGCTGTGTATCTGCTTGCGTGGGATCCAGATTTTTGCTGATTTGATCATATTCACTCTTTCATTATGTATGTGACTGTGTAAGTCAGCACCTGGTTGCTGACCACTGTCATCATCCTGTGGTGGGGATAGGTAAAAAATGGCTCTTTCAAAATGAAAGCCCTACAAAGCAAGCTCCTTGCTTTACCAATTGCCACATTGCAAATGCTTTTCACAACTGACAGTGAAGTTTAAACACGCCATACCTAAATCTGCACACCAGCTGTTTGATGAAATAACTCAGCAGAATACGGACAATAGATGACTTAATTAGTACCATTGATTTTTTCTTTGCAGGGTTGGTGATGAACGGCGATTTCGAGTCTCCCCCGTCAAACGGCTTCCCGACTGGGGAATCCGCCATCTTGGAGGGCCCCGCCGAGATCCCCAGCTGGAAATCAGACGGCACCGTGGAGCTGGTCTCGTCGGGACAAAAGCAAGGCGGGATGATTCTGATCGTACCGCAGGGAACTCACGCCGTCCGGCTGGGCAACGACGCCGAGATCAGACAGGAGCTGACGGTGGAGAAGGGTTCCGTCTACTCCGTCACCTTCAGCGCCGCTCGCACGTGCGCACAGCTGGAATCGCTTAACGTCTCCGTCCCGCCCGCCTCCCAGACCATCGATCTCCAGACGCTCTACAACGTCCAAGGGTGGGACCCTTATGCTTGGGCTTTCGAGGCCCAGGACGACAAGGTGTCGCTGGCTTTCAGGAATCCCGGCATGGAAGACGACCCCACCTGTGGGCCCATCATCGACGACATCGCCATCAAAAAGCTCTTCGCCCCCGATCGCCCCAAAGGTAGCCAGCCGGCCCACTAGCCCGCTAATCAAATTCCGCTTTTGCTTTAATTGGGCTTTTTATCCAGTCCTTTAAATTCCCGCCTTTTTTTTTGCCCGGCAGAAAACGCGGTGGTGAATGGTGACATGGAGGAAGGACCGTGGATGTTCAGGAACATCTCGCTGGGGGTACTGCTTCCGACCAACCTCGACGAGCAGACTTCATCTCTACCCGGTTGGATCGTGGAATCCAACCGAGCGGTTCGTTACATCGACTCGTACCATTACTCGGTCCCCGAGGGGAAGCGGGCCATCGAGCTACTGTCCGGGAAAGAAGGCATCATTTCGCAGATGGTGGAGACGAAGCCCAACGAGCCATACAAGCTGTCGTTTGCATTGGGCCAGGCCGGGGACAGGTGCAAGGAGCCCTTGGCGGTCATGGCTTTCGCCGGAGACCAGGCGCAGAACGTCCACTACACTCCCAATGCCAACTCCACGTTTCAGACTGCTGATCTGAACTTCACGGCCAAGGCTGAGAGGACCCGGATTGCGTTCTACAGCATCTATTACAACACCAGGACTGATGACATGAGCTCGCTGTGCGGGCCTGTGATTGATGACGTCCGGGTTTGGTTTTCCGGGGCCGGGCGTATTGGGCTTGGTGGACCAGTGTGGCTGGTGCTTGGGCTTTGGGCTTTTATCTTGGTTTTGGTTTAGCTGTTGAAGTGGGGTGTTACTATTAGAGAATTGGGTTTTTTGTGTTTCTCTCGCTGGCTTGGAGGGGTATATCAAAATGTAATGTTGGCTTTTGCTTTGCTTGCAATCTGGCGATCTGGCAATTAGAATGTTTTGCTAGTAGCTAAGTTATATTGGTTACATCAGAAGTGATCAAGTGAATCAGTTCTGCTTCCTAAGATTAGATATTCCACTTTGTCGCCAGCTTACTCAATGTCTGATCGCATCATATATATTCCAAAAAGATGCTGTAACACTCTGTCTGGGGTCTTTCCTTTGTGGATTGGAATGTAAGATTGTTAATGGGCTTTACTTGCACGTGTTGTAAGGATTCATGGCGGTGGTGAGGCTTGGCATATCAAGTAGGGCTGTCATTTCGATTGCCGGTTAGCGGCTAACCGGCCGGTCTAATTGTTAACCGTCGGTTAGCGGTTAACCGGTAACCGAAAATAACAGGGGGCGGTCGGTTGGCGGATGCTGTAAGTGGTTAGGCGGTTAGTCGATTAACCGACGCCGGTTAACCGGCTAACCGACGCTAACCGGCCGACAAAACGACACCGTTTTGGCCTAGCTGAGACCCAACATCATCCCCAACCCTAGCATCCTCCTTCTCCCTCATACCCTTTGTTCTCGGCCTCCATCCTCCCTCAGCCGCCACTTCCACAACACATCCGCGCGACGACTCCGCCTCCAATCGCCTCGCCGCAACCCTCCTCCAGCCTCCATCACCGCCAGTCCGCCATCGCCGCCTCCCTCCAATCCACTCGCCGCGCCTCCCGCCTTCACCCGCCGCGCCGCAACCCTCCTCCGGCCTCCATCACCGCCAGTCCGCCATCGCCGCCTCCCTCCAATCCACTCGCCGCCTCCCTCAAATTCCGCGACGAGCAGAAGCCGTTGTTCCGAGCCAAGGTCCCGTTGAGCATTCTGGGCTTGCCTTTCCAATCCGGAATCGTCGCCGGCGAGGCCAAGGAGCTCTCTCTCAACCTCTCGACGTTCTTCGATTCCGGCCCGTCGTTCAAGGTTGCCTACCGCCCCAACGATTCGTGGAATCCGTTCTCCCTCGTGCTCAAGACGGGGTCGGGGTCGTTCGGGTCGCCGACGTCGAGCCCGATGGTGATGAGCGCGGAGTTCAATTTGGTCGGGAAGGGGAACCCTAGCTTCATGCTTCATTTCAAGCCGAGGTTTGGGGATTTCTCGATCAAGAAGTCACAGGCGTCGTCGGGTTTGGAGAAGAGTATGAACCATAACCCGAAACTTGATTTTTTCCCCTCGCTGTCCGGTCGGTTTTGACCGGTTAACGGTCGGTTTTGGCGGTTAACGTTCGGTTCGTGGCGGTTAACTGTCGATTCGTGGCGGGTACCGGTCGGGTTTTGACGGTTGTCGGTCGGTCATGCAGTTAAACCAAACCGCCATCAATTTTTCGGTTGCCCCGATTAAACCGTACCTGAACTGAAAACCGCCCAGTCGGTTTGCGGCTAACCGGGACTCTGGGGACGGTCGGTTGACGGTGGCTACTGGTCAGATTCTCGATTTTCAGTTAAACCGAAACCGATCGGTTGCCAGCCCTAATATCAAGTACGAGTTTGGATGTTCAAGGAGTTGATGGTATAGATATCATTGATAATTTTAAAGAGCTCATCCACGGGGTTTTGAAAAGTTATTATCTCTCATATCTAATAGAGAGAATAACAAGTGTGATGATTATCTTATTAGTCGAGATCATACTTTATCTTTTGGTTTACACCTTATCTCGAGTATAAATTCGTAATTGTACCAATTTTTTATGTACGATATACAGAGGGTTTTTAAATTTTAGTTGATTTTGAATAAAAGTTATGATGCTACTACAAAGGGGAAAAATCGAGTTAATTGCATGGTTGGTCGTCGAGATTACAAAAAAAGTTCAAGTTTGATCACCCAAAATATTTAAATCCATTGGTGATACTATAGTTTACTGAAATAGTTCACGTTTGGTCACTCTCCGTCCAACTCCATTAACTTTTGGTTACGTGGCGGTCAACTTTAAAGTTGACCGTTAAGTGTGTGGCAATTAAAAAATTAATAAAATAATAAAAATTTAATCTTTTGTTAATGACTGGTATACTCCAGGAGTATAGTATACTCCAGATGATCTGACCGTTAGATGCACTTCTATGAGCACCGATCAATCTCAACCGTCAATTATTATTTTCTTTTAAATCTAAATTCGGGTTTGGCTTAACAACATTGCGGTATAGGTTTATCCATTAGACGTTAAGGTATAGTATCATACCCCAAACTCAATTTAATTCAAAGTCTATATATAGATATCTCAATTAGAGTACCTGGAGTATAGTATATTCCAGGTGTACACCAGTCTGATCTTTTATATATTTATAGGAAAAATTTGAATAACATTACAATTTAGATGTTCAAAAAAATAATGTATGATTATGTTCATGAACTCATGAGTAGTTATGCACCTGTGGGTAGGAGTGAAAGTTTGGTTTGCAATTTGCGGGTTATTGTGGTTAACCAAACCCACATTTTGTGGGTAGTGAGTTGGGTATGGTTAGTAAAATCTTTATTTTTGTGGTTACTATAACCACATTAGTCTAACAATTTTTTTTACTTAGCTTTAAGTTCATCATACGTATTGATATTATTTTATTATAATTTCCACCTCATTTCTAACTATTACAAAAGATAAAAACAAAATGATAATTTATTAAAATTAAGAAAAAACGGAGAATCCTCTCTCATCTTCTCCGCCGCCACGTCACTCACTTAACGATCCACTTTTAAGGTTGACCGCCACGTAAACAAAAATTAACGAAGTTGGACGGAGAATGACCAAACATAAACGTTTCAATAAATTAAATTACAACCTATAAATTTAAATATTTCAAGTGACAAAACTTAAACGTTTTTTGTAATCTCAGTCACCATGCCATTAAAAAAAAATCGAATGTATATCAATTGAATCGGTGCGGCTGCGTCCGGTGCCAGGGTGGAAAAGGTGTTGAAAAGCTTTGGCACGTAGCTAGCTTCTGATGCAGACACAAGGACAGGGGAATTGGGAAAGACCGATTTGACACAAATGTCCCTGCCTCCATTTGCCAAGACTTTTCCTTTGCCCCCACCTATAAAACCCACCTGGGAAGAATCGGCTAGAGAGCAGGGGAAGAATGAGCGGGAGGGTTTCTTTCTGATTGAAATTTCCAAATCCAGCAAGCGAAAACCCGCTTCCGTTTCTTCCTCCTCCTTCTCCCAAAATGGAAGGAGAAGTTGGACCCGCCGCTGCCGCGGTCGTGCCTGCCTCCGCCACCGCTGCGCCGCCTCCCTCGCTGCCGTTGGTGTCCGATTCGTCGTCTCTCGTCACATCCCATGAGGAGAATCCGGAGGAGGCCCACGCTCTGCCGTCGGACGAGGAGCAGGAGAACAACGAGCAATACCCCGACCTTGACCCGGACCACGGCGCCGATCATGATGAGGATCACGACGGAGACCAACACCAGGCGTCGGAGCAAACGGACGACGATCTTAAGCTTAAAATCATAAAGCAGGTGGCCGACGCTGTTAATTTCTTTGTTCTATCCCATGTTCTTTTCGAGGGCTAGCGGTTCTTCTGGTTTTCATTATTATCCTCGCTAATTCTGCTCTTATTGGGCTTTAGGGATTGCAATTTCTTTTTAATATGTTGTATGGAATGTTGGTTTACAAACCCGAGTCATTTTCCATTGGAATCGCTTGTCTGCTAATTGATACTTTATTGGTATGGTTGTTTCTGTAAAAAATTTCTCATGGAAGTTCTGCACTTGTAGGTGGAGTACTATTTCAGCGACGAGAATTTGCCCACTGATAAATACATGATAAGCTTGATAAAGAAGAACAAAGAAGGTTTTGGTAAGTGTTTCCCCCTTCCTAAAGGGGGTCTCTTAATTCATTCCCATATGCTACTGTGATCCAGAAGAGTGTCCCTTCTCATTGTTTGGTTATGTACGTGCTTTGTATGAACATTCATCATCGCTGATGCAATTCATTATTCACTGCTTAAAAACTGAATCTTTTCTCGCCTATAAGAACATGGTTTGGCTCCTTAATGATCGTCTTGTTCTATGCTCCATTGTCTACTTTAACTTATGCTGTTATAACTTATTCCAGTAAAATGTGGTTACTGACCGCTGCTTTCTGTGCTCTATTACTTTTCTTGTAGGCTGTAAGTTTGTATACGGAGAGTAGGTGGTGTATTTTGCTGTATGAAAGAATGATATGTTCTGTTGTCTACTTCTGCTAATTATTTCAATCCTGAAGTAGTGACTGAGTGTTGTTTCGTCTTTCATTGCAGTTCCTATAAAAATTCTTGCTTCATTCAGGAAAATGAAGAAACTTACCCTTGACCATGAATTCATCTGTGCTGCGTTAAAGGATTCACCATTTTTGGTAAGTGACTTAACCTTGTTTATGTACATCGGGTACATGTATCGTATATGGGGAAAATGAAAATCCTTCCTTTCTCACCACTGTGTCTTCTCTTCTGTAGGTTGTGAGTTCTGATGGAAAGAAGGTGAAGCGCCTTAATCCTTTTCAAATGTCAGAAGTAAAGGATCCAAAGGTACTAGTTTTTTTACTTCATCCCCTCTACTTCATTTGTAGAATATCAGCTTTTAACTTGAGCTTATTTTGGATCTTAGCTTTCCACGGTTCTGGTGGAGAATCTTCCTGAAGATCATTCTTTGGAAAATATCCGAAGTATATTTGGTGAAGCTGGGAGGTATAACGTCTGATATGTGTGCTCTTCTTTTTAGATCCCTGGTAAGTGCATCTGATAAATATTGGGATTCTGACAGGATAAGGAAAATCACGTTTCGTGATCCTCATGCGGGTGAAGTCTCAAAGAAAGGAAGCAAAGCAGATTTTCTCGTTAGCATCAAGGTATTGAATACCGTTTTAAGTGGTTGGTCGGCTAAATTGTTGGTGATTCTTGTTCCGGTGATGCCTATCTTTTGCATTTCTTGCTTACTTAATCACTTATTATCTACTATTGAGACGCATCATGCTGTAGGTAGGCCTCCTATGTGAAGTTCACAAATCACCAGATAAACTGAACTTTCTTGTCATGTGGTTCAATAGTTCTAGTTTTTCCTTGTGCAGTTACACGCCCTTGTGGAATACGACACTGTGGAGGCTGCTGAAAAAGCTGTGGCTAGTTTGAACAATGAACAGGACTGGAGAAATGGCATGCATGTGAAACTTCTCAAGCGAGTGGTGGTGAGTCATCCTTTTATTTTGTTCTCCGACTCCTTAGGAGAGATGCTAATTCACTAACTATGATGTGTGGCCGTAGGGCAATCCTGCACAGAGGAAGCCGTGGAAAGAGCACGATTTTGACAAGAGTAGCAATGTTCGCGTGTCTTCTTCTCAAACTGTAGGGGAAGAGGTAGTTAATCCTACACAGGAGAACCGCCATGATTTATCACCAGAAGAAGAGGTAACTAGCTTTATAGTTTTTTTTTGCTTTTGTCTGTTATCCCTGGGCTGCCCTACGTAAGTTAAGGCCTCCCTCTTTCTCAGGAGGCAGAACATGTTTCCAAGGAGAAGAATGGACAGAGAGCAAGAGCTAGAGGACGAGGTCGAAGGAATAGATATCACAATTCTAATGGAATGGGTAAAAAAATTTACACACTCAAAGTTACTCATCTTAGTTCTCTTGAGTAATATCACGTAACTACCTGGTCCATCGCTTCCCTACAGGCCATGGAACCGCATCCTCTGTGCACGCAGCCGAACCCTCAAAGCCTCCGCCCGGACCGAAAATGCCTGATGGAACCAGGGGATTCACGATGGGACGTGGCCGCCCTCTCGCCTCCTCCGATGTGGCGAAACCCATTCAGCAGCAGCAGCAGACGGTCTGAAGCTGATCATGTGTCATGCCTGTGTGCACTACGTTTTACCATTTGTGATGTATGTTTACTATTGCGTGGTGGGAACGGCAAGGATTAGCCTCGCTGAAACGGGTTGTTGTGGGTTTGTCTTAGTTTTGTTGGGGGTGAGTTTTCTTGCATGGTTTTGAAATGTAGGATGAAGATGGGGAACAGGTCGGCCTTTCATGTGCTCTACAATTAGTGTGCCTGTTTTAGTTTGGTGTACAGAAATACGACCTCCTCATCCCCATTAGTAGATGGCTGTGAATGAATTGTGACTGTTTGCTTTCCTCTCTTCACTCAATTCCAAGATGCCCTGTTTTGGAAGCCACAAACCCTTAACACGGCTTACATCCTTTGCTGTTTGCATCGTAGTGTTGGTGGTATGGTGTTAGGGCTGGCTATTTGGTCCGGACTTTTGGTTTTACCTGAAATCGGACCGTATAATCGGGACCGGATAACAAACAATCGAATCTCATATTTGGGTTTAGATTTGAGGTAAAAAAATCGTTTGGATCGGATCGAAAACCGAATAAAGAATCAATAAGAGAACCCAACACTCAAAATTTAACCAACTTCTCACCCTTTGATGCCTCAGGCCACTCAAATCCCCACAAGTTCAATCTAATATCAAGACCAAATTGAGACCGGACCGGGTCAAGACCGGACTGGACTGTATCCAATCTAATTTTTGGTCTTTATATTCCTGAAAAGATCGGATTGGGACCGAATTAATTCGGGCCAATTTAACCGGACCAGACTGTATAACCACCGTATTATGGGAAGGTTATATAAGTTTGTATCAGCCAGGCGTTACTAGATTTATCTATAATGTATTGAATAAGATTTATGATTGCAGCGTTAACTATTTACTAACTGTAGTATGAACTACATATGCGCACATGAAATTGAGGACGTGCCATTGTAGTCTAAAATTGATCCGCAAATTTGGGGGTCGGATACTATGCTAACCCCTAAAGGGGTAGTGATTTTCGACACCCTCCTATTGATTGGTCAGTTTTATATTTAATTATTAAACAAGTATTAATGGCTGTCCTAAATAAATATGAATGGAGAAAGAATTAATTGTCATATTAATTATGCACGGGAAGGGGGCAATTTAGCTGGATCCCCTTTCCCTCTGTGGCGTTTCTACTCCCTTTCCCTTTGTTTCTATTTCCCCCCTCCCTCCTCTGCTATTTCCCCTTGTTTCTTTCCATTGTTGTGGAGAACCATAGCTCTGGTTCATCATTACACGGCTGGCGGATATCCCCGCCGCCCTTACAACAAGTCCGACCATCCATGTCGTCGGCCGTCTGCCGTCCTCCGTCTTCCATCTCAAACATCACCTTCCAACAACTTCCTCTTATCCACGGCCTGCGCTTGATCTTTTCCTGTTGACCACCGTCTTTCCACGGTAGAGATTCGATAAACCCTAAGTGGCGGCGACAGAATCTGAAGGTGAGGGTGGTACCACTAGGCGGCAGAGGAAACACACCAATGGACTGGTACGTGTACCAGTGGAGTGGTACGTGTACCAGTGGAGTGATACGTGTACCAGTGGAGTTTGGAATACATCGTCATGAAAATATTGTGGTCTCCACCACTTTTGAAGTTTGGAATTGATTTTATTATTTTTCTTTTGTCTTAATTATTGGTCAACTTCTTTCAATGTCATTGAAATATCTTTGCCGACGAGTAATGAATAGAAATGGTCTTCGCACAACTTCGGCGGTAATCATACTACTTCAGTGGTACATATATACCACTGAACTTGTACTATACCACTAGACTGGTATACATATCAATTAACTGGTACTTATACCACTGAACTGATACTAATTAAGACTGTCCTCAATATACCAATACTCAATACTTACTTGATCATGAAATATAATTCTGGCACAAGCAACACAATAAACATTTAAATCAGTCAACAAAATAGGAACTTTATATTAGTAGCCAAAAGTTGTGTTCCAAAATGGGTTGCAAAATCAGGGAAATGCCAACAACAATGCCAAAAGCAATAAATTATCCTTTGAATGTGAATAAACATAAAGTCTTCACAATTTTTTTTAAGCCTAAACAAGACATATGGTTGCTAGTACCACTCCACTAGTATCACTCCACTGGTACGCGTACCACTCCTGGTACATGTACCAGTCCATTGGTGCGTTTCCTCTGACGGTGGCTCTCACAGCGTTGCTTCTTGTTGGTACTCGCACCCGATGAATGATCTTGACCTACCCCAACTTCTACATGGCGAGGAAATAGCTTCCATGACTCTTTCCTTTAGGCACTCCAAGTTACGGTCTCTTCGTCTTGACCATTCCTACAGATAGGGCTGTCCATTTGGTTTTGGTTTTTTGGTTTTAACCATAACCAAACCAATTGGAAAGCTAATGGTTTCAGTTTTTTGGTTTTAAACCAATAAGCAACTTAATGGTTTTGGTTTGGTTAAAACTGAAAAACCAATAAGAAACCAATATCAACGAAACGACCCCTTTCAACGAAACGCTCGCGCAACTCTTTCCCTAGAACCCTTCGAAATCCCTAAACCCCTTTCGAACGAAATGCTCTCGCCTGCGCACGAGGCACCTCTCTTCAGAGTCTTTTCGTTGCTCTGAATCCCTAGAACCCTTTCGAGGCACCTCTCTTCTTCTCGTTGCTCTGAAGTCGGCTATCTTTGGCATAGGCGGAAACCTGAGTTGCTGCTTTGTGGCCGTTGATTCTTAGCTCGAGGAACTGGGTCAGCGAATAACTCCATGGGTGGGCATTGTCCAGCTTGAGCATATTCTGGGTCGTCGGTGACTTGCTGATTTGTTTTTTCGTGCTCGCTAACATTGTCCAGCTTGAGCAAATTATCGGTGTCGATTGGAGAGAATTTGTCAGCGACAATTTCCTTCTCCTACTCCATACTCTGTTCTAAACTTTCCGCCTTTGTTCAATGGAATCTCAGTGAGTCCCTCACATAGCTTGCTTGCATCTATCTTCCCCTATTCGATTTGTTGATTTTTGGATTTGGGTTTCGTTTCTGGGGCTTGGTTGTTGGCTAAAGCGTGGTTTATGTGTTGATTTTTGGATTTGGGTTTCGTTTCTGCCATATTTTCTGGTGACTCTGTTTGTGGCTTTCATTCAAGCTCCCCTGAATTTTTCTGGGTGGTGACTCTGTTTATATTTCCTGGTTGCTTTCTGGATCACCGAGAAGTCGTTCTTGCTTTGAAGTTGTTCTGTTTCAAAAGCAGACAAGGAAAATTGATTGTCCTTGATTGTAGCCTAGTTCGCTAACATCGTTTGGCTTGGCAAAAATGGAAAACAAATCTAGACACCGTAAGTCCAGAGGAAGCAAAACCTAGAGAATGGTACTGTCGATTCTTGCTTACCGTCTGCATCTGCAAACAAAGAGTGAGTGTGTGATACAAAAGTATGTGTGTAAAGTTGACAATGGTTTTGTATATTCATTTTACAAATGCAATGTATATATATATCTCTCTCTTGGGCTTTCTCTGCCTCATGAGTATTCGATGATTGGGAACATTTGACAAGACACTGTTTTGGCTACTCACAGACAGTTTAGTTCTATAGAGTTTTATCTACTGGAGAATATGAAGCAGTTGTTAGTTATGTAAGGTGATCATAGATTTATTCTGCTTTTGGTTTACTTGGAGCGGAGGGGGAGAGATTCTGGAAGTAATGGGCATGTTGTGGGGAGCTGCTGGGCACCGTTTGGATAATCTAGACACCGTAACTTTCTTCCCAGTATGTTTAAGGTTTTTCATCGCTAGTATCTTGGGAGGTCCGAATTTTGATGAATTGTTGAGTTAGATTCTTGTATTCTTAGTTATGTGACCAATTGATTAAGTAGTCTTTCATAGTGGATAACTTTTGGAGTTCTGCATTAGTGGTGGAACTATGAGCTTTTGACAAAAGGGACCTTTAATAAAGTTAAAAGCTTTCAGATTGCTGCCAATGTTGATGAGTTTCCTTTGCTTTACTCCTCTGAGTTGGTTGTTCCCGTGTCTTTTAGGTGGAATGAAGTGACATGTGTTCTAAATGATTGAGATTATATGGGACGATCAGGAGCTTAATATGCTGATAAGTGCAATTCAAATTGAGATAGATTTGTGATGATACTGGTCTTAATGATTGTCATTCTGTTCATAATTGGTGTTGAGATAGATTTGCTTGTTTCAGGGTGTGATGTTAGGCCAAGTGATTATGTACTTGATTTTGATACAAACTCACTTTTGATATTGGCAGGGGCAGTGAGATACCATTATCACAAAATGCTTCATCTAGTGGTGCTCGTCCTAGAAGTGGGCACTCCAAAAGCACCAGTATTCCGCCTAGACCTCCTGCAACGTCTTCCTCCACTTTTGCACCATCTTCTGGTACCACCACAGTACCCAATGCTCAAACAGAAGGTGGGGGGACAACATCGAAAAAAAGGAAAGACAGATATGATGTTTGGAGACATTTCACACACTTGGAGATGGGTGGAGTGAAAAAAGCTCGATGCAATTACTGCAATAGTGCTCTTGTAGCTAACGGGACATCTACTCTACGGACCCACAAGGATAATTGTTTGGCAAAGATAGCAAGGGGTGATCTTGTAGTCGAGCTTCCGTCATCTTTTGAAGGCCAGGTACACACTCTTGGTTCTTGGCAATTTAATCAGACTGATGCTAGGAGAGCTTTAGCGGAGATGATAATTCTAGATGAATTGCCATTTAGATACGTTGAACATGAAGGGTTCAAACGCTTTATGTCCCGTGTTTGTCCTATGTTTGTGCTGCCTAGCCGACAAACTGTTAGAGAAGATTGCATCAAGGTGTTTTTTTGAAAACAGAGATATGTTAAAGGATTATTTCAAAGCTAAATGTTTGGGGATGGTATCTCTCACAACTGATTGTTGGACGTCTTTGTCCAATCTCAACTACATGTGTGTTACTGCACATTTCATCGGTAGGGATTGGAAGCTGTATAAGAAAATTATCAACTTTGTTCAGATAACAAAACATTCTGGAAATGAAATTGGAAAACAGTTGGCTAGTTGTTTGGTGGACTGGGGAATTAGGAAGGTCTTTTGTATCACAAAGGATAATGCTAGTATTAATGATGTGGTTGCTATCCATATGAGGCAACAGTTGAAAGAGTGGGGATCAGATGTTGTGGATGGAAAGTATCTGCAGATGAGGTGTGTGGCTCACATTATTAATTTAGCTATGAAGGATGGGCTTAAAGAAACTGGTATATCTGTTGAGCGAGTGAGAGAGTCTGTGAAGTGGGTTAAATCTACACTAACTAGGAGCAGAAAATTCAAAGATTGCATTGAGTTTGAAAAGATAGTGTCGAAGAAATTTGTTTCGTTGGATGTAGCTACAAGGTGGAACTCAACGTATCCGATGTTGGAATCTGCAAAGCCATTTGAGAAAGCATTTCAGACATTAGCCAGAAATGAGAAGAATTTCAAGAAACATCTCAATGAAAAAAAATATGGAAATCAAAGCCTTGGTATCCCAACTTCTGATGATTGGTCAAGTGTCGGACGGTTGATTAGTTACCTGAAGCTCTTCTATGATGTGACTGTTCGAGTTTCTGGGACTTCATATGTAACTTTACACCTCTTATTTGATGAGATATGTGAAATGTATACTACGATTTCTGAGTGGGTTGATAGTATTGATTTTGAGGTGGGTTGCATGGCTGAGAGAATCAAGTCCAAACTTGCCAAGTATTGGTTTGAAGAAGAGTGGGAGAATTCCAAGATCAATCGGTTGTGCTATATGGCAGTCATATTAGATCCAAGGCGCAAAATGGAATATCTTGAAGAAGCTTTGAAGAAGGTATATGGTAAAAGTAGGGGGAAAGCTTTGGCCGAAGAGGTGAAAGATGAAATGCATGCCCTGTTTGACCATTACAAGCATAGGATCGGACTTCATAGTAGTTCTCCTATTGTGATTCAAGAAGGTGAGCAAGAACCTAGTGGAAGTGGGGATGGGAAGAAGAAAGGAAAGTTTTGGGATGATTTCAGGAAAAAGAAAATAGAGGCCATTCGGAAAGGAACTAGAAAAAGTTCCAAATCTGAGTTTGATAGGTACCTTGAGGAGGAGGAGGATGATGAGGAGGTTACACGAGCAATGGTGGGTTCTGAAGATGATGAGTATAAGTTTGACATCTTGGGATGGTGGTCGCGAAGTGGGATGAAATATCCTATTATTTATGAGATGGCTAGGGATATTCTCACTGTTCCTATTTCCACGGTTGCTTCTGAGTCGGCATTCAGTACAGGAGGTCGAGTTTTAGATTCGTTTAGGACCTCCTTATCCCCTGAAGTTGTGGAGGCTTTGATTTGCTGTGAAGATTGGATAAGATCTTCTAACTCTGAGTTGGTGGCTGATGGAGAAGATGAGTGTGATGAAGTTGTATTTCAGAATGGTAAGAACTTATGTTTATTCTTATATTTGTTATTGTAATGAAATCATATTCTAACAAGTTATTGTTTATGTTATCTAGTATTTGCAGCTTTTCAAACTCGAAGTGCAAGTGCACCTGCAGAACCTAGTGGAAGCTCACATTCTGCTCATGTTCCGATCTCGAGTCCTACTGGGTCACAAGTCGAAGAAGTTTATTTTGATGAGGATTCTGATGGGAATGATGAGACTTGTGTGGAAATAGAGTCTGATAAGGTGGAGTGATGTTGATTTTTAATATTGTTATCCAAAGTTGACATTGTGGATGTTATTAGTCTTAAATGTATTACTGGAAGGATAAAATGTTGGTAAGACCATTTGTAGTATAATGTTATTAGGTGACAACTTATATAAAAGCAATCAACAGGGGACATAAATACGAGCCCCAAAACCATGGCTAAGACTAACTTCCTTCCTAACTCGTATCAAAGACACAGACCTGAAAGAGACTCTCAAAAGGGTTTCTGTTCAATCCATGGCATCCATTTAAAATAAGAAAAAGAATAACATGTTTCCTTGATTCATTGTGAACCATATATATACTATTTTTTATAAGAATGTACAAATAATAATAATAAAATTATTTATCATGAATTTTTTTTATTGTTTCTTTAGATATGCATGCCAACCAATAATTTATAATGGTCATTTTATCATTTACCATTATTATGACATTTATTCAATAAAAAGAAAAGAAATAGAAATAAATATGAGTGTATGAGTACATGTTGGTTTTTTGGTTATCCAAAACCAAAACCAAAAAAAAAACCAAAACCATTAAGGTCCTTATTGGTTATTGGAACCAATAACCAATAAGGACCTTAATGGTTTTGGTTTTGGTTTTGCTGATTTGGTTTTTGGTTTTTGATTTTTCATACTTAATGGTTTGGTTAACCAAACCAAACCAAATTGACAGCCCTACCTACAGACAATAATCAACACTATCAATTCAGTGATAGAAATATGAGTTTGATAAGTAAGACAACCATCACTATAGTGGTAGAATTCAGTGGTAGAATTACCAATACATCTTTGCAACTATCACTGCAGTGATATAAATCAGTAGTACATACCAGTACAGTGGTACTAATACCAGTACACTGGTACTAATACCACTCTAGTGATAGACATACCAGTACACTGGTACTAATACCACATGAAAAAATCCACACGAAAACCCAGATTTGAGTTTGGGAGAAAGAGACAGTAGGGGAGAGAGAGCTACCTCAGTTTCTTCGTCGTCATCTTCGCCGGGAAGGGGAGGAGGGTCACCGCAGGAACGACATGAGTGAAGTCATCTCGTAGGGAAGGTGAGGAGGGTCGTCGTCTTCTCCGTCGATCCCTTTGCAGTGCCGAGCTTTGTGGAAGGAGATGGATAGTCGCGGCGGCAAGCCTGGTGTTGCGCGGAGAACAACGACAAGCATCATCCGAGACTTAGCCCACGACGGAGGATGGGGGAGAGTCGGAGGGAGAGGATTTTGTTGGTGCGTCGACGATCAGAAACCATGGACTGTGGCGGGAAAGAGGTGACGGCGGCGAGCAGGGGCAGAGCGAAATCGAGGGAGAGAGAAGGAGAAAGGGAAAAAAAATGGGATTGATTTTTGAATTAGGGGTGTGAACTGTTTTTTCCTAGATTCTTTCCATTTTCCAATATAGTGAGAGAAACTTATTGTGTAATTAATACCTAATACACAATAATCAGTTTCAATTGTGTAATTAATACCTAGTGAGAGGATTTTGTAATTAATACCTGATTAATCCTTACCATTTGGATTAGATGGACGGTATCTAAGAGGGGTGTCAAAAATCAGACCCCCTTAGGAGGGTAGTCACGCTAACCGCTCCCGCAAATTTGCCATTTCCACAAAAATTTACAGAGAAGAAAATTGGTAAATGCCACCTTTGGTTGCTGACATTACTAATTCATGTTATGTTTAGTCATTAGAAAAAATTAATATTAATTTTGGTCACTCGAATTGTCGAAATATGTCACATTTAGTCACTTTTAGTCACACTCTCCCATTAGTTTCCGTCCAACTCCATTAACAGAGTTGGATGGGGGTTAATGGAGAGTGACTTAATGTGACATGTTTCAGTAATTTGAGTGACATTCATGAAAAAAAGAGTAATTCGAGTGACCGGAGTTGGACGGAGGCTAATGGTAGAGTGACTAAATATGACTTGTTTTAGTAATTCGAGTGACCAAAATTGATATTAATTTTTTCTAGTGACTAAACATAACACGATTTAGTAATCTTAGTGACCAAATGCGGCATTTACCGGTGGCGTCTTCGGTGCACTCACTTATTTGGGTGCATTCAATGCACTCTCTTCATAACCGTTATTTTAAACATGGGATTTGTGTTAAAATAATGTCAATCATCAATTATGATGTGATGAACAATAACGCAGATGAATTTGCATAAAACCCATTAAATATTTACTTTAATTTGAGGATTTAGAGTTTAGAGATTTAGGGTTAGGGTTTACAATTTGGGGTTTATGGATAGAACTCAAAATTGGAGGTCTAGGGCTTAGGTAATCCACTAATTAGTTGAAGGATTTAATTTGAAGGATTTAGAGTTTAGAGATTTAGGGTTAGGGTTTACAATTTGGGGTTTATGGATAGAACTCAAAATTGGAGGTCTAAGGCTTAGGTAATCCACTAATTAGTTGTTATCATATGTTATATCATCATATTACACTAATTCTACAAGACTAATTTTTGAGTTTTATGAGTGCACCGAAGTAGTCACGGCATTTGCATGATGAAAATGGAAGAAATATGAAAGTGAAGTTTGTCATGGCACGATGGAGATCCTGATTCCTGAGTATCAAACAACCTACCGACGCGTGAAAAGGGCGCGTGACTAACCAACGACGACAAATTGCTGCACCAAGCTAGCGTTGATTTCTCCTCTCTGGAGGTTCCGGCAACTTCAAAGTAGGCTGCCAATTAACCAACAACCTCGTCTGCTGCTTTCTCTTCCCGCCCCCTCTGTGCATTTTCGATTCCGGAGAAACGCCCTCCGCCGGTGCATATATCACAGTACGCATCAGTTATTTCGCATCGCTGGTTTAGAATAATTCTCCACAGCTTCCCAGGACAGCAACCCCCTGCGAGCGAATCAAATGCGATCTCTGAATCACCACCGCCCAAACATCCGACCCGGTTGCTCTCGCCGGCGGAGTCACTCTTCTATTCTCGACGCAGCATCATCGCTGTCCTTCTATTCCCGTCCGTCTTATAATCCCCAGGTGCTGCACTCTTCTGTATAACATTCCCGCTTCACTGTTCTTTGCCCCGTTTAGTCAATTCGCTTATGAATTGCTTTCGTTTCTGCAGTTGAAAGCATTACGGGTAAACCGAAATGCAATTCGGTTACATGATAGAGCTGTTCAAACTAGAGCGTTTGATGTGGTAGGTGTTGGAAGAGTAGCTTCTTCTACTCAATTTTTGCTTCATCTATTGATGGAGGCTGATGGGTCTTGGTTGTTGCTGTAGGATTCGTTCTTTATGTCCCCTGTCGATGATTGGGGTGACAATGAGGATTTTCCTGTTGACTACGTGTTCTCATCCAGTGATGCCGATAGCAGCGATGGGGAATTCGTGCTGAGTCCTTTGACTGATATGGATTTACCTACTTCTAAGGTGTCGACTAACGATGCTGTTACATTAACAGCTCACCGCCTAGGATTGATTGGGAGGGGTCACAGAAGACATAGGTTAGTAGTATTCAGTGTTCTTCACCCTTTGATGAATCACTTGCAGACTGTTGAGCCTCCTGAAATGATGCTGTTTGTTACTAATTCCTTGCAGAGTCAATTACGGGATTTGGAACAATTTTGGGTTGATAACCTTCTTGACGGTGCTGCTTCTGTTTATTGACTGGCGTGCCTGGAAGATTGTAAGGGTACCCCTGCCATCATTATACTTATCTCGGCCCTTTTTCTTATCAGCAGCTTTAGTCGCATGTGCGGGCTACATTTGTGTCCCATTGCTTGACGCTTTGATGATTCACGAGACTGTCAGGAGAGTAGGGCATTTTATGTATTCCAGGAAGAGGGAAACACCTACAATGGGTGGCCTGTTTACGGTTCCTATCGGTGTAGGTGTCTCTTTCTTCTTTGTTGGTTTTACTTGTGTCGAAGTTTCTGCTGCAGCATTAGCAACTATTGCATTTGGTGCCATTGGTTTTCTTGATGACATTGTAAGGGTTATCAACCGACATCACTGTGGCCTGTCTATGTGGACAAAAGTTCTTTTGGAGGTAAAACTTATGACCTTGAATGTGCTTTGTTTCTTTCTTTTCTGAATTAGCAACTGTGTCAAACCCTTTTTCGCTTTTTGTAGGTGGCTTCAGGAACTGGTTTTGCAGTTTGGCTAAGCACGGCAAACATATCATCACCTTACAGCATGTATACATTCTTGAAACTATTCTGATCAACATTTGTCTGATGATGGTAACTCACATATCTTTTTCTTGGGATGAGCGTGTATGGTAGAATGCCAAGCTGACTGCTACCTTAACTAGTATCGCAGTGTAACTGTCAGAGTTGTTTGTATAGAGTAGGACACTTTCCCACTTTTCTCTTACATGCTTTCTTAGTAACGTGGAATAACAACGAAAATGCTACACCATATGACTTGTAGAATGTGCGAATGTCGAAGAACTAAAATAAGCACTTGGAATTACCATCTTCATTCTTCACCTGTGCCGTCTGACACATTATATGCTGCAGGAAAATGTTGGTTCCTCTACCCGCTCCGCTGGGCCTTGTTTGCTTGGGGAAATTTTATTTGGTGCTGACTTCTCTATGCTTTGTCTCCATGGGACGTGGGATTGACCTAACAGATGGTCTTGATGGGCTAACTGCTGGAACTGCTGCATCGGCTTTTACAGGAATGGCAGTTGCAGTGCTACCGATATGTCCTGGTTAGTAACTTTGTATCGGTGAAAAATGACAGGGTTGGGATGGCATAGTGGTATCTTCTCTGTATATAAAGAACCCAGTATGCTTTACGAAAATATTTCTGTGTTCCGTTTTGCTTTCGTGTTTCTTTGTCTTATCTTAAATGCCCCTTCATTATCGAGAGCAAGATTTAAAATGGAAGAAGGATAGATTTTTGCTGAATGAACCCTGCCTTGCCGTGGGATTCTCCCATCTTCTATACACTTGCTAACTACAGTGTTACATTCCAAACCAGAACTTGGCATATTTGGAGCATCAATGGCAGGTGCCTGTGTTGGTTTTCTGCTGCACAACCGGTACAAGGCATCGGTCCTGCTGGGAGACACGGGATCTTTGGCCTTAGGAGGAGCATTAGCTGCAATGGCTGCTTGTACTGGGATGTTCTTTCCATTGTTTCTTTCATCTGGAATCTTCCTTTTAGAAGCACTCTCGGTTGGAATGCAGGTCATTTTTGGAGTAAGCTATCGTGTAAAATGTGTTTTACATGTCTCATCTTTGCAAAGATGTAGCAGAAAGATTCTAACTTCGTATTTGGTTTTAGGTTGTCAACTTGAAGACAAGGAAAGGGCTGAAGGCAGGAATAGAGCGGTATGCGACGTGCATCACACCTCTCCATCGGCACCTCCAATTATGGGGAGTGAAGGAACCCGTCATTGTTGCTAGTGCATATGTTATATCAAGCTTCTTGGCCTTGACCGGAGGATATGTTGCTCTAATCTCAGCTTAGCTTCTCTTTCTATTTCTACTAATGATCACTAGGTTTGTCCTTCTTTTCCATAGCTTGGTGATTCTGACTACGAAAACCACTATACATGTGTTCAGAGACCACAGTAGAATAGAAGATAGACGATAGTCAATTCATGTAACCCATTGATTGCAATCTAAGGTTTTGAAAAGGGTATGAAAGCTGGTACTTTTATTTTTTTTGGGTAGAAAGATAGACGCATTGCGTCTAGGTCACATTACTAGAAAAACGAAGGTGGGAAGTTCCCACAATATCATGGCGGAGCCATTGTACAAGGTCTCTATCGCATACATCGAAGGGATGTGTGCCAAAATTAAAGCCGTGAGCCTTGCAAGCCAAAAAATCAGCCGCAAAATTGGCTTCCCTAAAAACATGGGAGATACAAACTTCCCAATCACGATTCAAAAGGACCTTAAACTGGTTTGCTAAGCTACCATGCCTATGATCATCCTTCTGACATTGTTTGATAATCTCAATCGCTGTTGTGGAATCAAGCTTTAGTTGAACCTTCCTATAACCTGCCTTCCATGCGATTTTAAGGCCCTCCAATGCTCCTTTCAATTCTGCAGCAGTGATTGAACATGAGCCAAGGTTGCAAACAAAGGCGTGGGTGCATCTGCCCAGGTGGTCTCTGAGCAGGCCTCCTGCTGCTGCCTTCCCACTATTTGTAAGAAACGAGCCATCCGTCTGCAGTTGTATCCAGCCTTCCATAGGAGGGTCCCAGCTAACATTCCTGAAGTGGCAAGCTGGAGGATTAGAAATAGTAGTCAGCTGGACATTTTCCTGAGCGTTGCTGACAATGTTGAACCATGCTTGAATCCTTGCAAATAAACCATTCTTTGAGAAAACTTTGCCCTCCATAACTTCCTCATTCCTTTGTTTCCAAAGCTGCCAAATAATAATGCCAAACTCAGTTGCAGTATCATGCTGTCTTGGGTTAGTCATTAACCAGCCCTGCAGAGGGAGATTCATGGAATTGGCCACTGTTCTGCTTTGGAACTTTTCCCACACAACTCGAGCTTTGCTGCAACTCCTGAGAATGTGGTCAATTGTTTCTTCCTGGTCAGGGCAGAGATTGCAGTGGCTGTTTGTTATGATTTTTCTTCTAGTTAACTCCTTCTTTGTGAGGAGCCTACCGTGTAGTACAATCCACATGAAATGCTTGATTCTGTTGGGTCCCTTCCATTTCCAAAGATCTTTCCAGCATCTGTCAGGTGCATTGTCCTCCTCCTCAGCAACCAGGTTGTAAGCTGACTTGAGTCTGAAGCGGCCATCCTTCTCCAACCCCCAGATGGTGGTGTCCTCTCCAAGCTCCGGATCAGGAGTCTACAAACCTGCAATAGCCGAGAGATAAGCATAAGGGAGGAGTGTTCTGAGTTTCTCCCAGTCCCACTCACCTTCCTTAGTGATCCATTCAGCCACCACAGAGTTTTTTTCCTCCTCAGTCAGGGCCTTCAGGGCAACATCTTCCAGAATAAGGTCACTATCAACCCATGGCTGTGTCCAGAATTTGGTTGTTTGTCCATTTCTTATGCTCCAACAAGTGGCATGCTTCATGATATTCATTCCTTTGACAATGGCCTTCCAGAGATTTGAATGGTTGCTCTTTTTCATTGAAATGATCTCTCCATTCTGCTGCTTGAAATACTTCCCCTGCAACACCTGAACCCACAAGTCATTGTCCTTATTAAGCATGTTCCATCCCAGTTTAATCATATAAGACATGTTCATGTTCCTGGCAGACTTCAGACCTAAACCACCTAGTTCTTTGGGCTTACAGATGGTTTCCCAAGAGACAAGGTGTGGCTTTCTCTTCCCCTCACAGGACCCCCACACAAAACTCCTAACTTTTCTATCAATAGTATCACATATGGAAGCAGGTAGGAAGGTGGTTTGCATAGCATAAGTGGGTAAGGCATTGAGGACAGAAGTGGCCAGGGTAACTTTGCCAGCCAGGGAAAGAGTCTTTGCTTTCCAGTTGGTGAGTTTTTGCTCAATTCTGTCGATAATATACTTGTAAGTGGTTTTGGTGATTCTGCCATGAATCACAGGGACACCAAGGTATCTCCCTAGATCAGTAGTAGCTTGAATCCCAAGTCTCTTACATATCTCATTTCTATTATGGTTCTTGACATTTTTGGAGAAGAAAACCCTAGACTTTTCTTTGCTAATAGCTTCACCTGAGGCAGCACAGAAACAGTCAAGGCATCTAAGGACAATGTCAGCTTGTTGTGGGTTGGCTTCAACAAGCAACACTAAATCATCAGCAAAGAAGATATGAGACAGAGCAGGTCCTTTAGGAGACAGCCTAATAGGTTTCCAAGAGCCGTTATGAACTTCCGACTCAATGCAGTGACTTAACCTTTCAACACACAAAGTAAAGAGGTAAGGGGAGAGGGGACATCCCTGTCTAAGTCCTCTGGTTGGCTTGAAAGCTTCAGTTTCACCTCCATTCCAAAGGACTTGATAGCTTGTAGAGGACACACACTTCATGATCAGGTTGATGATGTTGGAAGGGAAGTTTGCAGCTTTGAGAGTGTCCTCCAGGAATTCCCACTCGATTCTGTCATAAGCTTTAGCAAGGTCCACTTTTAGGACCATGAAGCCTTTCCTGCCACTTTTCCTTGCCATAGAGTGGATGGTTTCCTGCAAAATAATGATATTATCTGTAATATGGCGATTAGGAATGAAACTGGATTGGTACTTGTTCACAAGATGAGGCATCAAAGGTTTCAGTTTATTGGCAATCAGTTTAGCAATCACTTTATATCCCACATTGCATAAGCTGATTGGTCTAAACTGACTCATTGAAGAGGGGTTATCCACTTTTGGAATCAAAGCAAGGAGGGTTTCATTAATGCACTGGATTTTATCAGGGTTTCTAAAACAGGAAGTAATGAAACCACAAAAATCCCTCCCCACAGAGTGCCAACATTTTTGGTAGAAGATGGCATGAAAACCATCTTTCCCTGGTGCCTTAAGGCCATTCATTTCCATAACCACATTCCTGATCTCTTCAGAGTTGGGTAATGAGCCCAGGCTAGTAAGTACACAACTATCAAGAACAGGGAAGTTAGCAGGGATAGAGAGACCAGACACAAGACTGTTTTTGGTAAAAAGGGTCAGAAAATACTCCCTGGCCATCGATAGAAGGGAGTTGGCATCAGTGATCCATTGTCCATGATCATCTCTGAGGCAGGTGATCTTGTTCCTCTTTCTTCTGCTGAGGGTGCTGGTGTGGAAATAGCGTGTGTTCAAGTCCCCCTTCACCACCCAGTTTGTCCTGGATTTTTGAATCCAGAGCATTTCTTCTTGCCGGAGGGTTTCCTCCAGTTCCTCTCTAGTCTGTTGCTCCTTTTCAGTGGATATAGTAGATGAGCATCTCCCATTAATCATCTCCAAGGACTTGAGTTCCAACAGTAGCCTCTTCTTCCTTTGAAAGATGTTTCCATACACTTCTTTGTTCCATTTTTGTAGGTCAACTGAGAGTTGGTGGAGAGACAGAGTGAAATCCACTCCACTTTTCCAGGATGACTCCAAAAAGGAATGGAAATCTTCATGTGCAAGCCAGGAGGCAAGGAACTGAAACCTTCTAACCAGTTTTTGTTCCACAGTCTGGTTAGTAGTACAAGTCATGATAGGGCGGTGGTCCGATTTAATTTTTGGCAAGTGGTAGATGGTTGTGGAAGGGAATCTATGTTGCCAATCGATGTTGCATAGACTGCGATCAAGTCTCTCTTTAATACCAGAGTTTCTTGTGAACCAAGTAAACTTGGGGCCTGAAAAGCCCAGGTCAATCAGTCCACAATCCTGGATACACTCATTGAAAGCACGCACCTTAGCAAAGCTAAAAGCAGCACCTCCTTGCTTATCAATGGATCTGGAGATAGAGTTGAAATCACCTGTCAAGATCCATGGAGAATTGGTTGTCTTCTCAATATTTCTGATGGACTCCCAAAGTTCCATTCTGTCATGTTCATTTGGGCTGCCATAGACCACAGTAAATTGGAATCTCTCTCTCTCTGCTCGAAGACCCCCTTGATGTTGATGAATTGCTTATGGGTGTCAATGGAGTCACAGATCAGGTCCCTTTCATTCCAAAGAATCCAGATACCCCCACTGAAACCGGTAGCTTCCGAGATAGCAGAGGCATCAAAGCCAAGTTTATTAATAACCGAGGTAGCTTCCTTCCCACTGATTCTGGGTTCCAAGATACACATCACATCAGGCTTGTAGGTAGCCTTATACAACATAAATGTAGACAGAAACTTGTGGTGCTTTGCACCCCTGCAGTTCCATGAGAAGATTTTAACCATTACAAGACTTGGTTAGAAAAACTTCCCTGCAGGACACATGCCAAATTAACAAAGATCGACGGCCATAGCCGTCTCAATGACCCCCGTGGCATCATCAGTAGAGATATCCTTGGGGTGCTGTGTATTTTCCAGTTCAGACTTCACATTAACTTTCTGTGAAACAAACTCAATTTTCCTCCCTTTTGAAATTCCTTTCTCTGGTGTACCTTGTACAACTGTCCCTTGTGTCTTGCCAGTTGCTGATGAGGAAGGTGTTTTCATCTTGGGTTGATGCCCTGATTTGGCCTCTTTAGTCGGACCCTTCTCCTTCCCAGACTTAGTTGAAGCAGCTTTCTGTTTTGTGCCACTTTGTTCTTTGCTCTGGGTAGCAGCTGTTGTGGGTGAGTCAGGTCCTTGTTTTGTTTCTGCTTCACTTCCTTCCAAGCTGAAACAGCTGTCTCTTCCAGCTTACTCGAATTGATGTTCTTGCTCTTTTGTTTCGCCGCTTCTGGGGAGATTTTCTGGTTCTCTTTCCTATCGAATTTTTCCTTTTCAGCAGCTTTTTCCTTGTTGATCCGACTTTCCAGGGTTCTCTGATCTCTCCTGCTTTGTTGCCCCTGGGTAGAGGTGTCACTCTGCATCTTTTCAGCACTGGGTTCATCAGACATGTTTTCAGTGCTTGTTGGAGCTTGTTCCTCTTCCTCCTTGGTTGTCTCCACCCCTGCCTCTTCTTCTTCATTGGCCAAGCTTTCAAATCTTGATCCATTCGAGGTTTTTTCCACCCTTGGAGTGGTTTGTATGATTGCACCAGTTG